TTACATCTTCACAGTGTGACTAAAGGCTCCAGTATACTGCCGCGTATGTCCGTTCACGCGTACTTACACGTGTACTGTACGCAGAGGGTTCAGACATGATACTCCAGCATACACCCCAAGCAGCTGCAGAGCAGCTTCACAGACAAGGGGCATTTACCTTCGGGACAAATTGAGGTCGCCGATTGGTCATTTGCTGACACGCCTACTGGATTGATTGACAGGTCGGAAAAAACAAAAAAGCGAGCGCTGGCAGCCTCCGCCGCAGCGGTGTTCTGTGTTTATATGTTGTTAATAAAAATATCTAAAAAATAAAAATAACAGAGAGCGCTGGCTCTACAGCCAACACATCAGACCAGCCCACCAGGAAATCTCCAGACCCTCCTGCAGCAATGCTGGACCTGAGTTTAATTTGCTCGTGACAAATTCCTCCATTTCTCACCATTTCAGTCATGGCATCAACAGAGGAGGAAGAGATCACTGCCTCTTGGCAAAAAAACAAAAGATAAGGCCAGATCAGAGATGAAGAAGGGGAATTTAAAACATTGGTGTTGCATACAAAACAGTCCGTCGCCTGGCAGTTTATTGTGCGACACTGCGTACGCGTATGCAATCGTAAAAATGTGAGCTTTGCACAGACATGCCCTGGGGGGTACGCACGTACCTCTGCGTACCTAGGTGCGTACCTCTGCGTATGGATGTACGCGGCAGTATACTGGGGGCCTAACGTATTACAGCTAAAGCTTAAACACTCATAACATTGATGCTTAACAGAGTTTACAAAGCAAACACTATACTAGATGTAGTTAGCATTAGCATGTAGCTCCTACAATAAACAACCTTAAATATTACAGAATGAACCAATAATGTCAAACCTGAGCTAAACATAGCGTATGTACAATGACAAAACACATGACACTTGTCTATGCAACTATTTTCATGTTAAACGTGCATTTTGTCATCTACGCACACAACTTGAGCTGCTACTGCTGCTTACCATGGGCGGCTCCATGTCAGATTAATTAAAGTGTTGCAGAGTTCTAAAATTAAAGATGCACTTACCAGTATTCACCGCTAGATGTCTCTTAACAACATAATTCAAACTAATTGTCTCTGTGCTACAACTCGCTGCCTTTTTAACAAGTAATGATGCGATTATACAAAGTAAATACTACAGGTCCTTCTAAAAAAAATTAGCATATTGTGATAAAGGTCATTATCTTCCATAATGTAATGATAAAAATTAAACTTTCATATATTTCAGATTCATTGCACACCAACTGAAATATTTCAGGTCTTTAATTGTTTTAATACTGATGATTATGGCATACAGCTCATGAAAACCCAAAATGCCTGTCCCAAAAAATTAGCATATTTCATCCCACCAATGAAAGACAAGTGTTTTTAATACAAAAAACACCAACCTTCAAATAATCATGTTCAGTTATGCACTCAATACTTGGTCGGGAATCCTTTTGCATGAATGACTGCTTCAATGCGGCATGGCATGGAGGCAATCAGCCTGTGGCACTGCTGAGGTGTTATGGAGGCCCAGGATGCTTCGATAGCGGCCTTAAGCTCATCCAGAGTGTTGGGTCTTGCAACTCTCAACTTTCTCTTCACAATATCCCACAGGTTCTCTATGGGGTTCAGGTCAGGAGAGTTGGCAGGCCAATTGAGCACAGTAATACCATGGTCAGTAAACCATTTACCAGTGGTTTTGGCACTGTGAGCAGGTGCCAGGTCGTGCTGAAAAATGAAATCTTCATCTCCATAAAGCTTTTCAGCAGATGGAAGCATGAAGTGCTCCAACATCTCCTGATAGCTAGCTGCATTGACCCTGCCCTTGATAAAACACAGTGGACCAACACCAGCAGCTGACATGGCACCCCAGACCATCACTGACTGTGGGTGCTTCACACTGGACTTCTGGCATTTTGGCATTTCCTTCTCCCCAGTCTTCCTCCAGACTCTGGCACCTTGATTTCCGAATGACATGCAAAATTTGCTTTCATCCGAAAAAAGTACTTTGGACCACTGAGCAACAGTCCAGTGCTGCTTCTCTGTAGCCCAGGTCAGGCGCTTCTGCTGCTGTTTCTGGTTCAAAAGTGGCTTGACCTGGGGAATGTGGCACCTGTAGCCCATTTCCTGCACACGCCTGTGCACGGTGGCTCTGGATGTTTCTACTCCAGACTCAGTCCACAGCTTCCGCAGGTCCCCCAAGGTCTGGAATCAGCCCTTCTCCACAATCCTCCTCAGGGTCCGGTCACCTCTTGTCGTTGTGCAGCGTTTTCTGCCACACTTTTCCCTTCCCACAGACTTCCCACTGAGGTGCCTTGATACAACACTCTGGGAACAGCCTATTCGTTCAGCAATTTCTTTCTGTGTCTTACCCTCTTGCTTGAGGGGGTCAATGATGGCCTTCTGGACAGCAGTCAGGTCGGCAGTCTTACCCATGATTGTGGTTTTGAGTAATGAACAAGGCTGGGAGTTTTTAAAAGCCTCAGGAATCTTTTGCAGGTGTTTAGAGTTACGTCGTTGATTCAGATGGTTAGGTTAATAGCTTGTTTAGAGAACCTTTTCATGATATGCTAATTTTTTGAGACAGGCATTTTGGGTTTTCATGAGCTATATGCCATAATCATCAGTATTAAAACAATTAAAGACCTGAAATATTTCAGTTGGTGTGCAATGAATCTGAAATATATGAAAGTTTCATTTTTATCATTACATTATGGAAAATAATGACCTTTATCACAATATGCTAATTTTTTGAGAAGGACCTGTATATGTCACTAAAAAAAGATGCCCCCTCAATTAGACCACTTTTGTTGTGTCTTGAAGACGTCAAAGCCTTTTCAAAGCATTTTCTACTTTAGTGTTCACGCTATATGTTTAGCATCATTTTAAATTTGAATTACATAATGTCCAGATAGTTTCATTTAGCTCAGAGCTTCATTAAATCTCTCACACTAACATAAATACTGTTTGTTATTATTAAACTGTTATTATTTCGCACAATTAAAATGTTATAGTGCAGTGCGACGTGTGCACGTGCCACGTGCCATGTTCTATAAACAGTGATATTAGAACTGGATCAGACTGTGTCTCTTCCAACACAGATGTTGGTCACAGCACCTGGAATCTGACGTAGATTAACTACGAGATTAAAATATATTCCATCAGTCGAGGTTCAGAAAGCACTGTGTCCTCCGCCATGTTGAAAGAAATATAGCGTCTGTCCGCACGTGCGTGTGCGCATGTGGTTTAACATAAAGTCTCAGCGGGAGATGTTTACATTATCAGCGAGGGGGTCAGAGAAAAACCTCCACGGAAGTGGCCAAAGTGGAAGTGGCCTGAATCACATTAGAAAAAACGGAATTACATTTGAAAAAACAGAATCACATTTAGCCAAATCATTACATTATGGAAAATAATGACCTTTATCACAATATGCTAATTTTTTGAGAAGGATTTGTATATATACATATATAAAATTGTTTTAAACCCTTCCCACGTTCTTGCAATATTCTAAACAATGTTTCTAAACTGTAAACACTGTAAAACATGTCATGACTTCAGCTCCCTGCCTCAGCTGCTCTCAGCCACCTGCAAGCGTTCTTGGCCACGCCCACTTTTCCACTCTGCACAGAACACATGTTCAGCTGCAGGAGGAAGCTTTTTCTGCAGCTCTGGGCTGCACAAAGATGCAGCAGGTGCTAAATAATTTAAAATCATTTATTTTAAATAAAAATTCTGTGCCGATCGTGTGGCTCATCCATCAATCAACCAATTGTGCGTCATGTCCACTCTTATTTTGAAAAACCTTGATAGAGCGAGTCTGAGATAAACGAATGAAGTAGCGAGGGACTACTGTATAAGTTTCTATAGTTGTAGATACTTATAATGCAGTGATAAAGTACAACATTACATCCTAAAAACATTTGGTTTTCAAATTATAATTGAGCTTACAAAATAGTAATTTATTCTGAAATGTTTAATAGAACAACTCTAGATGAAATATAGAGGTGAACAGATTTGGTTCACTATTTGGTAAGAAACTGGTCAGTTTTCTCTGTCACCCTTAATTAATGCATAATAAGCAGTTATTAATGATTCATAAAATGTTTATAGAGGAATTAATAATGTATCTATAAACTATTTATTGGCCAGCTGTAAGGGAAGCTTTATTATAATGTGTTACCGCTCTTTCTTACATTTAACAGCTCCTCTCTGAATTTCTCACAACATTTTTCCTTCTTCATCTTCCACCATTTGGTCTTCTTCTCTGATTTTTCTCTTCTTCACAACAACAGTCATTCTACACACCCGTCCGATGCTGTCTGGCCACGCTCTCCCCTGCCACAACCTTACAGTCTCCAGTCTCCCTCAGGTTTCCTCTTCTACACAGAATGTAGTCGACATGCGTACTCCTTCCTACACTCTTGCAGGTTACCCTTTGTTCCAATGTCTTTTGGAAACAGATGTTGACTACAGCCATTTCCATTCTCTTGGCCAAAAATGATAAAAAAAAAAAAATCAATGAGTAGTCACCCCAATTTTTATTTTATTTTTGTTGGTTATGTGCAGGAAGCTATAGTGATGTCTTCTGTTTTCATATTGAAATTTGTTTGAAGGATCATTTTCAAACAGCCCAACAATCCTGATAACGTTTTGCTTTAGTACAGTGTTACTGTGTTAGAAAGTCGTGAGAGGTAGCTGAAAAGGGCTGCACAGCTTTGTTTGCTGTCCACAACCTGAGACAATGATTTAATCAATTAGTTGATTTATCAGTACTTCTATTTATCTCCTGCCATGGTTTTTTTTTTTACATATCATCAAACTATTCATTCAATGTAAACAGTACTTATAGTATTTAACTGTAACGAAAGTAAAATGTACCCCCCCCCCCCCCGTTTATTAAAAACTACTAGAGATTAAAGGTGTTAAAAAAGAACCAGCTCACACTGTGTTCATTTACAACAGACACGTTGATTATTGAGCTGTGAGTGATGCTGATGTTTCCTCTTCCTGCTGCTCACAGATTGACGCTCTGGCAGAAATTGTAGACACAGTTCAGGGAAGAATAGAGGTTTATTTAGATGGAGGGATCCGGACAGGAAGTGACGTACTGAAAGCTCTGGCCTTGGGAGCTAGGTGTGTGTTCATTGGCCGTCCAGCTGTGTGGGGCCTCGCATACAAGGTACGACAACTGTTAATCACATGCACTGATTCTCACAAAGGTTAAAGGGCTTTAAATGTAAACATAGTACTGAAAGCTGTGTGTATCTTGGCTGTTTTATCGCCTGTTTAGCCTTAAACACAGATGTGAAACCTTAGTATGAGGCTAAGTCCTTGACGGCCTGATAGCCTTGGTGTTTGGTTAACTGTTTTTCTGTGAAGCTACAAAAGTCAAGATCTGAGAAATTTATGTGTGCAACAAAAATATTATAACTTGAGCACATCTGTAGATGACTGTGAAAATATGTCAGCTAAAAAGTGTTTCAGTAAGAAAGGATGTGAAAATCTTAGTGATTTGAGCTGGTGAGGATCTCCAGCTTGTTACAGGTCTAGTAAACACGTGTTGTTGTGATGTCTCAGGGGGAGGAGGGGTTGAGGGAAGTACTCCAAATTCTCAACGATGAGTTCCGTCTGTCCATGGCTTTATCAGGTGAGTCCAGTGTCTCAACTTCAAAATAGAAACCAATCAATGGCTTAGTGTTCTGTAAAGGAATTCATATCACTCACCACACTTTCAAACTAAGATGGTCGTAGAACGAGAAGGCTCATAGTTAAAACTATTCTGGTAAACCTTGTACAGGGAATGGTGCTATACATTACCTCATGCAAGATCTCTCAGTATGTGTTAGCTCTTAGTGTATGTGTTGAGGATGATTCTCATCTACTACTAAATTGAATTTTAACTTAACATCTTTAAATTCCATTAAGCTACAGACATTTTTGTGTTGCTAAAGTCAACTAGCCGCCATGGACATTTTTAACTAGGTTAACTAATTTTTACTTGTTGCTTTAACTTTACAAAAACTTCTTTTTTTTTTTTAATTAATTCTCTATTTTTTGTTTCATATCATGTCCCTCCTATAGGTTGTAGAAATGTAGCTGAAATCAACAGGAACCTCATTCAGTTTTCCAAACTCTGATGTTCCAGCAGGGGGCAGCACTGAGGACAATAATGGCACCAGGTTAACTGGACTCTGAAATGAATCAGATTGTTGTATAAGTAGTTTCTGAGCTTAAATTAGGAGAAAAATCAAGAAATTTATACCTCAGAACTTATAAGGATGAAAAATGTCTGTACTTTGAAAACAACTTATGCCGAACATCCCAAATGCTGATTGTATGAGTGACAGAATATGGAGGGAGACTTGAGTGTCAGTGAACGATTAAGAAAGTGATCAATGAATGTGCTTTTGCTTTGAGAGTGAAAAGGATGGAGGCCTGTATTTTAAAACCAACTAAATTCTAATGATTCCATTGTAAGAGTTAAAATGCTGCTAGTGCTTGTGCTTCAATAAATACCTGCTGAGGTGAAAAAAGATTTGCTGCTGTTTCGTGAATTTGTTACAGTCATGACACATGCTAGTTTTAAGTTTTAGACTTGGGTGGAATTGGACTCAATGTGATTATATTCAGTGGCTCAAATGGATAAATGGTCTAATTCTGCTCAAACTCACAGCTAGTCAGAGTGGACCAAGATTAACTAATTAGCTATCACTGCCTTCCTAAAACAAAACATCTCTGAACTTAAAAATTTTATAGACATTATTTGATATTCATTTTACAATATCTTAACAGAGCTAACACTAACACCTAACACTACTTTTTTAAATTGTATATTAGAATATTACTGCAGGAAGTGCACTGGCCTGCACTGTACACAAAACAACTGGCTGCTTCTGCCACTGAGCTGGTAAATAACCATACAATTTTATGTGAATAGTAATGTAAAACTGGCAGAAGTGTAAAGGATCATAAACTATTGTTTCCATAATAAGCCATTCATCCACTTTCAATTACATTAATAATACAGGGGCAATGTTAGTGGGGTGGGCAACCAGCAGGGCCCCATATTGGTTGGGTGCCCCAGGCAGTTACCTACTTTTGCCTATATGGTAAGTTAATGTTTGCACTAAAGAGGACGCAAAGGACTTGTACGGATTTTTCATTTAACCTTTATTTAGACAGGTAAATCCCATTGAGCCTCAAGGACTCATTTACAAGAGAGACCTGATTTCAACAAAGAAAGATGACAACAATGGACAACAGCAACAACAATAAACAATTATAAAAAGTCATACTGCAGGGTTTTTTTTTTTACTGATGATTGATGATAAAACAGAGGGATCGGCCTGGAAAGGATGTGTAGCAGGTTAGGCTTATTAAAGATAGGAATGGTAATGTTCTAACAAGTGAGGAGAATGTGACGGGAAGATGGAAGGAGTACTTTGAGGAGCTAATGAACAAAGAGAATGAAAGAGAAAGAAGAGTAGAGGTCATGGAAACTGTGGACCAGGAAGTGGGAAACATTAGTGAGGGTGAAGTCCGGAAAGCTCTGAAAAAAAATGAAGAAGGTGAAGGCAGTAGGACCTGATGACCAGTGGAGGTTTGGAAATGTCTTGGAGAGATGGCAGTGAGGTTTTTGACTCAAATATTCAATGGCATATTTGAGGGTGAGAAAATGCCTGAGGAATGGAGAAGAAGTGCTGGTGCCCATTTTTAAGAACAAGGGTGATGTACAGAGTTGTAGCAACTACAGGGGAATTAAGTTGATGAACCACACGATGAAGATCTGGGAGAGAGTTGTGGAAGCAAGACTTAGACGAGAGGTGACTGTGAGCAGCAGGATGGTTTCATGCCAAGAAAGAGCACCACAGATCCATCTTTGCTTTGAGAATGCTGATGGAGAAGACCAGAGAGGGTCAGAAAGAACTCCATTGTGTCTTTGTGGATTTAGAAAAAGCATCTGACAGAGTGCCAAGAGAGGAGGTGTGGTGTTACATGAGGAAATGTGGAATGACAGAAAAGTATGTTAGACTGGTACAGGACATGTATGAGGACAGCAGGATATGTAGTGTTGTGTTCAAGACCACCTAACCCAAGACCAAGTCAAGACCAAGACCAGAGTGTATTGAGACCATGACAAGACCAAGACTTTTAGGGTCCAAGACCAAGTCAAGACCAAGACCTCAAATAAAATAAATAAAATATTTTTTTATTATAAAACATTTTTTATAAAAGTTACATACTGCAAATTTAAGTTTGCTTTTGAATGAATGTATCAGCTTTTGTAAAATTTCAAAGCTACATAACAAAGAAATCAGACTTCAGTGGCCTAACTTCATGTGATTCAACAATAAAACTGTTAAATTGGAAGCAGTTTCATCACATGCCAAGCCTTAAAAAACTGAAGTGGCAAAACACTCTTCATAAGTCCAAACTCAACACCAAGGATAACCAGTGGTTTCAATAAAGTAGTAGATATACACCTAAAAAAGTTACATAAATGGATATTAGTTACAAGTATATTCTTTGTGATTTAAATAGTCAAATTTTATAACTGATGATTTGGCAGACATCTTCTCCCGCACCCAGACAATCACTTCTCACTTTCTTGGAGTGACCAGTGTTGCCAGATAGAGTCGAGGTTTTCTAGCCCCAAAATTTGTTAAAAACCATCACATCACACAAAAATCCGCCAAGTCAATATCTTGTTACAGTATATTTACTGTTTGAACATGAACACACATATACAAGCCAAGGTCATTTAGCAATATGTGGCAAAACGCAACAATTCAACAAAAATCTTCCCAGAGTTCCCAGCAAAATCAGAATGAAAACCACCCAATTGGCAGTAAACTGCCCAATCTGGCAACACTGGGAGTGATGCATGCGAGTGAAAGGGGGTGGGCATGATAGCGGTAACAAAAAATGTATTTAGCATTGAGTCACGTTATCGCTTGGATTTGAACCAGGACGTTTTGCATCCAGTAAAAACAAAGATGTTAGCAAATAAACTGGACAATATTCTGGCAATTTAATGATATTTCCACAGTTGTGGTCTTGACTGGTCTTGAAAAAAAAATCCGAATCCTCAATGTCCGAGACTGAGACAAGACCGAGACCAAATGCGGTAGAGTCCGAGACGAGACTGAGACCATCAAAAAGTGGTCTTGAGACCGGTCTTGAGATCAAGACCAGTCTCGAGTACTACAACACTAAGGACATGTATGAGGACAGCAGGACATGTATGAGGACAGCAGGACAGAGGTGAGATGTGCTGTAGGAGTGACAGATAGCTTCAAGGTGGAGGTGGGAGTGCATCAAGGATCAGCTCTGAGCCCCTTCTTGTTTGCTCTGGTGATGGACCGACTAACAGATAAGGTCAGGCAGGAATCCCCGTTGACTATGAGGTTTGCAGATGACGTGATCTGTGGTGAGAACAGGGAACAGGTGGAAGAGAACTTGGAGAGGTGGAGGTATGCACTTGAAAGAAGAGGAATGAAAGTCAGTCGTAGTAAGACAGAGTCCATGTGTGTGAATGAGAGGGAGGAGGTGGAACAGTGAGGCTAAAAGGAGCAGAGGTCACAAAGGTGCAGGACTTCAAGGACTCTGGGTCCACTGTCCAGGAACATGGGGAATGTGGTAAAGAGGTGAAGAAGAGAGTCCAGGCAGGATGGAGTGGATGGAGAAAAGTTTCAGGAGTGATTTGTGACAAAAAGGTGTCAGCAAAGGTCAAAGGAAAAGTTTACAAGACAGTGGTGAGACCAGCTATGTTGTATGGTCTGGAGACAGAGACATGGACAAAAAGACAGGAGACAGAACTGGAAGTGTCAGAAATTGAGATGTTGAGGTTCTCCTTAGGAGAGACAAGGATGGAGAAGATCAGGAATGAGATCATCAGAGGTACAGCACAGGTTGAACAACTGGGAGATAAAGTTAGAGAGGACACACTGAGATGGTTTGGACATGTCCAGAGGAGGGACGGTGAAGGTAGAAGAATGTTAGAAATGCAGCTGCCAGGAAAAAGGCAAAGAAGAGATATAAGGATGCAGTTAGAGAGGACATGGAGGTAGATGGAGTGAGGACAGAGGACACAGAGGACAGAGTGAGATGGAGGAGGACGACTCACTGTGGAGACTCCTGAAGAGGGAAAAGACATTAAAATAATAGAAACAATCTATCAGTCTTTAAAGGTCAAAGGAAATGTAATCTTTTTTTTAAAGTTTTTAGTGTAAAGCATAAAAAAGGTAACCGAAAACCAAAACTAATGCAAAAATGATTAAGCACTATTTTGGCTTTGGGTGAACATCATTTCCTGTAAGCTGAAAATATTATTGTGTCAGAATTTCCTATTTACAGTTTAAAAAGCAACCTGTTGATCTTACATGAAACCCTGCTACCACAACTGTGTCACAATTGGGTGGAGAAGTTAAAGATGCGGAAAAGACGCAGACCGAGAAAGAGAAGTAGCACAGGAAGTGACTGAGGTCTCGGCTAAGTTGAGCAGACAGTGATGCTCGCTCAGATGCTCCAACTCTTAAACCAGCTGGTACTGCGCAGCAGGCATTTCATGCTCAAGCTTCCTCTCAGAGTTTTTCTGGTCTAGATGGACAACTCAGAGGGAGGCCTTGGGTCCAGTCTTCTGAGGAGGATCTCTTCCAGGTAGGTTCCTCACAACGTCCAGTTTGTCAGTTTGACAAAGTATTACTGTATGCTACATATTCACATTGGTCTGTTTCAACTGTAAAAGGGTTCACACTCAAGTTTTACGAACACCGCCAGGTTCCAAAAAAAGTCTAAGCTGAGCTGCCATTTTATTTTTTTAAGTGTTTTACATTACATTGTGAAGAAAAAAAAAACTACTTAAAACAGTTTATATTATATTTGTGAAATAAGGCAACAAAGCGTATTGTAAAAGTAGAAAAGTGGATTTAACTGAAAAAACTGCAAGTTTGATGCATTTTTGCATTTAGCCTGGATGAACGTTCCCAAAAATAAACCAAATGTTCCATTATTAAATAAATTTTCTGTAAAATCCAGTGTGTTTTTTTGTGTGATCATTGATTTGAGGCCCCTGAGGTTGTTTTCTCCACACAGGAAATCTCACCAGCGCAACAACAGTCCTCAACCCCCCGGAGACAATGAAATTGGGTACGATAGTTTCTCGTTTTTAGCATTGTCAGGATTAATAATTATTCATTTATTCAGGATATTGATCATTTCTTACCACATCTTACAGTATTACAGGCATAAAAGAAATGAATTTATGTTCATCTGAAGAAAACAATGACAGTTGTCTATAAAGTAATCATTGTGCACGTGTTCAATTTGAAAGGTATAAAATGATTAGTTACAATAAACTGTACTTTATTGTATCCCTAACAACCTTAGATACAGAAAGTCAGACTTCCTTTTTAGTATTTATTTTACAGACTGGGACAGGAAATAACTCAGGTACAGTCAGGAAATAAATAGGGTAGCAGCCATTTTGATAATTGTCTCTCTAACTGGTCTGGAATCTGCTGTTCTTGCATGAAACGGCTCTGTTCTGTCTGTATGACCAGTGTTGTTTTAAACCAGAGTGGACTCAGGTGGAACTTGACAAAATGAATAAGGGGCTGATGGAAATTTAGATGCAACTCTTGTGTTCATAAAGTATGTCAAGATGATTACTTATAGTGGAACTAACTTCATCATTGTATAGAAACACACAGTGATGATAACACATAGCACTTTACAGTAAAAAGTTTCATAGTGGCAGCACGGTGGCACAACTGGTAGAGCTGCTGTCTCTCAGCAAGCAGGTTCCCGATTCAAATCCCGGTCTGGGGGCCCGTCTGGGTGGAGTTTGCATGTTCTCTCCGTGCATGCGTGGGTTTTCTCCAGGTACTCCAGTTTCTTCCCACAGACCAAAAACATGCATGTTAGGCTGATTGGTGACTCTAAATTGTCCATAGGGGAGAGAGTGAATGGTTGTTTGTCTCTATGTGTCCCTGTGATGGACTGGAGACCTGTCCAGGGTGTCCCCCGCCCCTCGCACAGTGATTGCTGGACATGGACACCGGCGACCCCCGTCACCCCGAATGGAAGAAGAGGGTAAAAGATGATGGATGGATGTTTCATAGTTACTATCAGATATATTAGAAATTCACATAGAGATTTTGCATGTCATTAACACATTGGCATCTTGGCAGCAGACATTTTTAAAGAAGGATTTGTGCCATTGAAATGTTTCCACTGGCTCCTCTTTTTTAATCACCCAACAAGTGGATCAATAAAACAAATGAATGCATGTTGCACTGATCAGGTGCAGGACCCATTATTCAAATGTGTCAGAACAAAGAGGCGTGCAAGAAAGTGTGCTTTAGAGTCGTAGACAAAAGGAAACGGCATCGTGAGCACAAAGAGGAGGATCTGTGAGGCAAAGCTTGGAATGGGGGTTAACCAGTTAAAACTGCTGAAACCAGCCACTTTTAAAATATGCTGTACTTCAGTTTTATCCTAGTTTAACTTTATATTAAACATAACAAATATGTAGCTGTTCTAGAAGTAAATTCTAAACATAATGCCCCAAATGAAACTGAACTTGTTTTTGTTTTCCTCCTCCTGTTGAGAAGGAATGGAGATGACAGCGGGGTGGGCAGGCTGAGCCGCAGACTGTCCCGTCTGGGCAGCAGGCATCAGTCCAGAGATCAGAGACCACAGGCTCAGCCAGAGAGACCTGCTGCTCCACCTGTTCAGCAAGGTGCGCTCTCAGAGACGTCACTGTTCAAAGTGTGTCATCAAGTGGAAAATCATCTACAATGTGTCCTTCCACTTCCGTTTGGCTTCACAGATGACAGGCCTTCTCCATCAGCGTTTGTTGTGCCTCCTGCTCCTCTGCCCCCACCCATGGACAAACCACCCAAGCGCCCCGACAAATCACTGAAGCCCAAGCTTCCTCCTCGGCCGCTGTCTAAGGAGTTCAGTAGCAGCAAACATGGGGGAGCCATGTTGCAGGTACAGGCTGTTCAAGGTGACTCTGAGCCAGGGTGGAATAATGTCTCTACAGCAAGAGAAGGAAGGGTCATGCTTTAAGTGCAAAACGTTCTTGTCTTTAATCAAGAAAAGTGTCATAAACATTTTACAAATGATTATTATCAAGAGATTTTTGATTAATTCCCACTGAAAGAACATCACCACAAATAAGGCAGAAGAAATGAACTTCACAGGTCTTACCTTTAACATTCAGGTACTTCAGATGTTGGTGTTTTACTGATAACTTCTATCATTCTGTTCTTTAACACTTTGTCCCCAAAGGGCTTAAATGTTTTCCGTGCAGATGAGACCCTCTGTGACGTTGTCTTGATTCCTGGAGACAGCAAAGAAGCTTTCCCCGTTCACAGAGTCATCATGGCATCGTCCAGTGACTATTTCAAGGCCATGTTCACAGGTTGGTTTTTCTCTTTCATGCAGCTGAAAGCAGAAGAATCAGGAAATGTAAGTCTCATATCAGCTGTCATGTCCGTTCTGGTTTTGTTGGATTGGGAAATAGGATTTAAATGGTGGAGAAAGTCCAGAACAAGACGACAGGAAACACTGGAGATCATGTAAAACATCTCAGGCCGGCTCCTTATCCAGCCTGAACGTGTGTAAATGTCCTGAAAACATTTTTGAAGCAACTTTAGAGTGAAAGGACTAAAAAAAAATACTATATTATACTCAGTTTCTATTAAATCCATTATTATTATTAGTTTAAATATAAAAAGGGAAAAACTGAAGACTTCACATCCTTTGGAGAAATGCATGATGCCTTTATAAACAGAGTTTTAAACAAATATATTGTGTTGAGAAATTATAGAGATGGAGCCATTTTGGAGGAATCCCACACAATATCTCAAGATCTATGTGTTGGTAATCAGAATATGTTGTGAGTTCCTGTTGGAGCTTGATATCTGCTAAACTGCCTGAGCTGCAGTCAGTCTTGTATTAGTTAATGCTAACCAGCTGCAGTGGTCAAATTTAACTGGATTCACTTTTGTTAGTTTCTTGAAGTTTTGTCCTGTGGTTCAGGACATAATCACATTGTCTGCTCCAACACTCCTACTCCTTTACTTGTAGATCAACAACAAATGGATACACAACACATTATGTGTTGACCTTCAGAGTCACTTCTGCATTCACCTTACTTTCAGTTGCAATATTAAAGCAGACTCGTATTAGATCACATCATCATCCAGTGCGTTCCCATAATCCCTGTGATCTGAGCATCAGACTTTCGCAGAGTCAGCAGTATGTTTGAATTCTGATGAGTTTGCACTGTGACATCAGGTCAACCCCAATCCTCTCAAATGTTGCAAATTCGTGCTTTCACCTTGTTTCTGTCCCTTTCCATCCGTACTTTCTGATTCAGGAGGCATGAAAGAGCAGGAAATGAGAGAGATCAAACTGCACGGCATCACCAAAGTGGGCTTAAAGAGCATTATAGACTTCATCTACACATCCAAGGTCATCCTTAACATGGGCAACCTTCAAGACACGCTGGAAGCTGCAAACTTCCTACAGGTCATGCCGGTTCTGAGCTTCTGCAACGAGCTTCTGAGCAGTGAGGTGAGAGTTTATCATACGAGTCTGGATGAAGAACGTCTTACACTTCAGAGCGCAGCAGCTCTTATAACCAGCACTGATCACAACAGGGGTTTACTTCCCTGCTGTCACTTGCACAGTTTTTCCATTTCTTGGACATAGTGTGTTGTTTTCTTTTGCAAAAACACATGCACATGCACATTTTGTTGACCTGACCCTGATTTGGTTTGATGCAGATCACCATCGATAATTGTGTGGAAGTGGAGCGAATCGCCACAGATTTGCTTCTTGAGGATGTTCTGCTGAATATAGGTGAGTAACACAGAAGTTAAAAGCACCAAAGCATCAAACTGAATGACAGCTTCAGTTGGTTTATCCATTATTTAGCAACAATGGAGCAGTCATCTGTTCGAGTGCTTTAAAAATGATTGCACCATGTTTTGTAGGAAAACTGGTTGATTATGATTATTATTATTTCTAATTGAACTTAGGTAAGTTTGTGAGCCAGAACCTCACGGCACTAGTGGAGTCTAGCCGTTACTTGGAGCTCTCTGACATCAGCATCGCCAACGCTCTGAGCAGCAACTCACTGCAAGGTTTCTCCGAGCTTGAGCTCTACCACATCGCCAAAGGATGGCTGGACCACGACACTCCCAAACGCCACTCCTCTGTTTACGCATTGATGCGCCACATTCGTTTCCCTCTGATGAGACCCGGTGAGCTGATTCAGATCTCCCAGGATGAGGAGGAGGGCTCCGACTCCATGATGCGCTCTGACACCGCCTGTGTCAACCTCCTGCTGGAGGCCAGCAACTATCAGATGATGCCTTACATGCAGCCGGCCCTGCAAACCGAGAGAACCCAGATTCGATCAGACTCCACACACATTCTGGCGCTGGGCGGCGTGATGCGACAGCAGCTGGTGGTGAGCCGAGAGCTGAGGGTGTATGATGAAATGACCGAACAGTGGAGGGCTCTGAGGCCCATGGAGGTGCCACGATATCAGCATGGTGTGGCTCTTCTAGGAGGCTTCCTCTTTATTGTTGGAGGTCAGAGCACCTACACTTCACACTGTGCACTCCAACATGAAATTTACACTTCACAACATGTCACTTTAGAGTTTTATAGTGTCTTACATGCATATTTTTTAAAACTTCATCACTCTTTCAACCATTTATACTGTATATCCAAATCCTTGAGATCAGGGCTGCTCAATGTGTAAAAAAACAGATGTCAGCCGATCATCCATCTATAAAATTTGTCTCTTGATTGACAGACAGCAAGTCTGAGGCCCCGTTTACACGACGTGAAACGTTCATTTACAGACAACGTCTTCATCCTCTCTGAAACTGAAGGTTTCTGAGTCCAGGTCAGAGGGAAGATTTTCAGGGGAACCCCCACGGAGTAGTGAGATGCTCCAAGTGTGAAGTTGCACATGTGCACTACAGGTGGCTACAGCCAAAGTTTTTCTGCTCTAACAACAGTTATAATAAATAACAACAATTATAATAAATATAACAACAGTTATAATGAACAAAACAACAGTTAAAATAAATAACAACAGTTATAATAAATACCAACAGTTATACTAAATATAACAACAGTTATAATAAACATAACGTTATAATAAATAACAACAGTTATAATAAATAACAATGGTTATAATAAATATAACAACAGTTATAATAAATAACAACAGTTATAATAAATACCAACAGTTATAATAAATATAACAACAGTTATAATAAATACCAACAGTTATAATAAATATAACAGTTATAATAAACATAACAACAGTTATAATAAATAACAACAGTTATAATGAATAACAACAGTTATAATAAATACAACAACAGTTATAATAAATAACAACAATTATAATAAATAACAACAGTTATAATAAATATAACAACAGTTATAATAAATAACAACTATTATAATAAATATAAAAACAGTTATAATAAATAACAACAATTATAATAAATAACAACAGTTATAATAAACAACAACAATTATAATAAACATAACAACAGTTATAATAAATAACAACAGTTATAATAAATATAACAACAGTTATAATAAATATAACAAGTTAAAATAAATAACAACAGTTATAAAAAATAACAAGAGTTATAATAAATATAACAGTTATAATAAACATATCAACAGTTATAATAAATAACAACAATTACAATAAATAACAACAGTTATAAAAAACAACAAAAATTATAATAAACATAACAACAGTTATAATGAATAAAACAACAGTTATAATAAATAACAACAGTTATAATAAATATAACAACAGTTATAATAAATAACAACAGTTATAATAAATACCAACAGTTATAATAAATTTAACAACAGTTATAATAAATAACAACAATTATAATAAATAACAACAGTTATAAAAAACAACAAAATTATAATAAACATAACAACAGTTATAATGAATAAAACAACAGT